GCTTGGTTTGTTATCCACTTATTGTTTGACCTTTTATATATTTTTATATCGTATTTCTGTTAATTTATTAATTTTAACTGCTGGAAAGCTAATCTAATGGGTTGTCCAATAGGGACGCAGGAAAGTAAACGTCAATTTGACATAGACGCCACCTTTGTTTTCTGTCACCGACATGTCATTTTGTTAGTTGAATGTTTACCATTGATCGCTATGGAGTCATATTCGATTGAAGACCGCATTAAAGTTATTCAAGAGCACTACAAAAATGGTGCAAAAATAAAAAACACGTTTCTCGCGCTTCGTGAACATTTCGGTCGCAACAACCGCCCAAACGAAACAACCGTCGGTCGTCTGGTGCGTAAATTCGAGGCAACAGGTTCTGTGGCAAATCTGCCAGGCTCTGGCCGGCCAGGGAGCGTTCGCACACCGGAAAATATTGCTGTTGTGAAGGAGAGTGTGAGAGACGATCCGAAACAATCAATAACGCGTCGATCCCAAGAATTGGGCATTTCGAGAACCAGTTTACTCCGCATTCTCCACAAGGATTTGAATGTACACCTACAAGATACAATTGATTGGATATGGACGATGTTTATTTCCAACAAGACGGTGCAACATGCCACACAACCAACGTACATATCCATCGATTGCAGTCCTTCTTCGGTGATCGCGTGATTTCGCGCAGAGGAAATGTGCCATGGCCACCAAGATCGTGCGATTTGACTCCCTGGGACTTCTTTTTATGGGGATATTTGAAAAGCAAAGTCTACGTCAACAGACCAGCCACCCTCCAAGAACGCAAAAACAACATCATTGCCGAGATAAATGCCATAGAACCGACCATGTTGCAAAATGTCATTGAAAATTTCGACCATCGCGTGGACGTCTGTAAATCCAGTCGTGGTGAACATTTGAGCGATATTATTTTTCATACATAAATGGTATAAATGAAGCTGAAAAATAAAGTACCCAACTTGATTTGAATATCAATCTTTCTTGTTTTAATATGCGTTAGCCTATGGTGTGCATTTTAAAATATTTAATTTAAGCTATTGTTTGTTGTTGCTTGTCATTCTACTGTTTGTTTTTTTTATGTATATACAAACTGTAAATTGTTTGTTGACGAACTCTATACATGTTTCGTACATGTCTAAGTGGTAATAAATATTATTATTATTATTATAACTAATAGCGATCTTGTGTTCTTCTAAGCTTGCCTGTCTGGTTTCATACCGTCCTATTCGTTTCATTTCCATTCAAGCGTATTACAATAGTGAACTAATATTTATATTCCAACGCGTGTTAATATAACTAGTATCGCGATAACGAATGATAAACGATAAGCGGTATCACTTTCCACCGCGGCGCTGGTGCAAAATTATAAATGACATCATTATTTACAATTAAACAGCAGCGATACGTTTAACAATAGCGTTTATCCTTGCCTTGTTACCCTTATTAACATCGAAATTGATAAATGTATACAAACAATATAATTTGTTTAGCTGAGCGTCGTCACGTGAGGATCACGTTGAACTATTTTTCCAAGCATGGGGATTATGGAGAAGCTACCACCTATACTGGAAGGCAGTAAAGTACAGGGTGGCCAACTACGTCAAAAAGAAAAATAAATTGTTAATTAAGATCAAAGTACGGACCAAAAGGACATGAAGATATCGAAAGAACAGGAAATACGCACCAGTGGAAGCTAGATTCACCAAAAGAGAAGGAGTAATGATGACGACGTCTAAGCACTAGTTAAATTACTAAATGCATTGTTAAAGCTAAAAAGTTCCTTGCTATCATTATGAAATTCTTGTTAATACTCGATTATATGATTATTTCTTTTCTCTTTGATGACTAATATGATGTGTCAATTGCAAGTAATTACTATTAAGAACAACGTTGATACAAAGCAGCACGCGTAAACTAAAATTGTCATCATGAAATCACCTAATGAGGTTTTCTCAGGAACAAATCAAGGCAGGTGCGAGTTAAAATGTGTGCAATTTGAAATTCCAAAAGTCGGATAAACAAAAAAATAGGATATTAGAGTTGACTGTTCGCTATATGTTGTAGGTGTGTTCTGTTAATAGCTGTGACGAGATTTTTTGTTTTCAGTTGTTTCCTTTGGGTTTTGTCAATAAACAAATAATGCTCTGAAACAGCTTTGTCTTTAGTTTCGTCTTTCATCTAATAATTCAAAAAACAATCCTTTAGTAGAATTTTTTTCTGTACCAAACAGCTATTCTACCTACATGTACAAATTCAAAATTTGTTACATTTATCACTTCCTTTTTCTCGAAAATGTAAATTCAACACCTTGAATCTGGTGCATTTTAGAGCTGATTTAAGGCCTTTTTGGTGTATTTCAGACCTGTCCCACTTTTTACCCTTAGGATATGTTCACTGATTTTAAAATCAACCTGTATTTGTTCTGCGAGCTAGCAATTTTCAAAACGTGATTTCCTGATGCTCGAATCTACTTGATTGCGTTTTTATACGGATGTGTAATATTTGACGTTTTATCATAAATAATGATAACGTGTTCAGAGATCAACAGAAAAACAATAAATATTTTCATTTGATCAAATTTGTAAATCCATGTTCGCAAACACCTTCTGTATGTAATTTGTTAATTACGCGTTATCATTAAAAATAATTCTGAGACATTTATTATTATTTTTGTGGCGTCCGCGACGTAGCAATCGTCATTTTAAAATCCTCCATGCGAACGATTATGTAAATTTTGTGGTGAACAACCTCGTGATTCCGAGATATCGCCTTACACTATGCGGTCATCCCCAAAACTAGTCCGACTTAGGAGGAGTCATCACCAGTTTTGTCATGTTGCTTCAATCGGCAACTACAAAATAATCACTACTACTCCCTTATAATACTATAAATGTTAAAGGGATGGATGTATGCTTGTATATATGTTTGTATGTATGTCTGTATGTATGTTTGTATGTATGTTTGTATGTATGTTTGTATGTATGTTTGTATGTATGTTTGCACGTATCTTTGTATGTATGTTTGTATGTATGTGTTTACATATATAGTATATTTGTATGTATGATTGCATGTATGTTTGTTTGTATGTTTGTACATATCTTTGTATGTATGTTTATATATATGTATGAATGTTTGTACGTATGTTTGTATGTATGTTTGCATGCATGTTTATATGAATGTTTGTATATATTTTTACATATATGTACGTTTGTGTGTATGTTTGTTTGTATGTTTGTACATATCTTTGTATGTATGTTTATATGTATGTATGAATGTTTGTATGTATGTATGAATGTTTGTATGTATGTTTGCATGTATGTTTGCATGTATGTTTATATGTATGTATGAATGTTTGTACGTATGTTTGCATGTATGTTTGTACATATCTTTGTATGTATGTGTATGTATGTATGTTTGTTTGTATGTTTGTACATATCTTTGTTTGTATGTTTATATGTATGGATGAATGTAGGTACGTATGTTTGTATGTATGTTTGCATGAATGTTTGTATGTATTTTTACATATATGTATGTTTGTATGTATGTTTGCATGCATGTTTTTTGTATGTTTGTTTATATGTATGTATGAATGTTTGTACGTATGTTTGCATGTATGTTTGTATCATTGCATGTATGTTTATGTGTATGTATGAATGTTTGTACGTATGTTTGTATGTATGTTTATATGTATGTATGAATGTTTGTAAGTATGTTTGCATGTATGTTTGTACCTATCTTTGTATGTATGTTTATATGTATGTATGAATGTTTGTACGTATGTTTGTATGTACGTTCTCACACCAAAACGACCGAACCGATATTGACGAATTTCATCACATACAGTATGTGCCATAGATTTAGCAGACGATTCTTTGAGTAATTTCAAAAAGTTCCTATGAACATAGGTCTGCAATTTCTTTGTTCTCAAGATACATGGTGTTGAAATATAAAAAAAGACCCTGTGTATAGATTAGACCCTGAAGACGGACATAGACTACCTTTTGTGCAGAGTCAACCTACCCGAAGTCATTTTTTCACTTGGAATTTTCCATTATGACACACGCGAGTAGAACCATAGATTCTTATACACGGATTAAGGCTAGTTATAATATATACAGCGTGTTCGTACAGTTTTAATTAATAAAGCATGTTGCATAATGCATAATTATAAACAATAACGAAACAAGCGTGATACAGCTGACGGAAAAATATATATCTTATACGAGTATGCACATACGCATATGTGGATACAAGGTCTGGTAATAATATTCCTGGAATTTCATTCAGTCATGAAACATGTATCCTGTAATTATTTAAATTTGTACACGAATATTTTACAAACAAGGGACACAGCAAGAAAAATAATGAACAATTGAAAACATCAAATTATTATCGTGTTTTTATTGATCGATCTATAATGATTCAGCAAATTGTGCGAGAAAAAGTTAGTTGTTATGTTTTGTTTCCCCATTGTTTATTCTGGCTCACAGGTAAAAAAATGTATATATTTTAATTCTCAGTTTTCATCACTGTGATAACTCAAGTTGCTCAAGGTATAAAATATAAATTTCGATATGAGCTTTTTTTCTATTTTGAAATGTCCGATTTTAAGTGCAGGCGTGCTGTGCTGGCAAACCCAAAGCATGAATTTAAGTGAGACAAGAACCAGAAATAGTGAATTTATACATAAAAAAGAGTTAATTTCTGAGAAACTGAATATTATAACGCCAACTTCTGAGAATATTATAATCTTTGATTATTTAGCTGCGTCATACTTGTGGTTTCTATAAGCGTAAACCACAAAAGCTTCAGAGTATATGACAATTTTTTTAACGGTCATCACATAGGTAGATCATTGCTAATTTAATACACAACTACGCAATTGACAAATACGCAACGAGAAAATTGAAAATTGTCCAATAAACATGATGATGAACCTTACTACCGGTTTTCGAACGATTCGCTCGAAATGATCAACATAAAAATCATACCGTGAAAACATCGACGTGTAGCCTAAAAAAATAAAATCCACTATCATCGACGCATGAACGCGTCCAATCGGTTGATACGGTTAGCACAGATGACATCATGCAATCATTTTGTACGCGAATGTTTCGGTCGGGATGATCACATCCCTGGGCGCTGGGTCAAGGAAGGTCATCAAAATATTAACCATTTAAGAGGAACTATATTTTTTTTACTAGAGGGAATATTTTAAATAGGGGATGTAAAGCATCAAAAATTACCGGTTCTAAACTTTCCTCTAATGGACAGGTACTAACAGTTTTGTTCTATAATGTCCGGGAAGTGAAGTATCAATGCGAGGCCAACCTTACTATTGGAGAGTGCATCATTTACTGGGAAAAGACTCGTATAGTCGTATTGCAAAAAAATGCAAGCAAAACACAAGAAGTGTTCGAGCAACGTCTACAACAGTTTGTTACGAACTTGGACACTAACAAATTGGTTAAGGCTTCCGCGGCCAGATGATAAGCTGCTGTCCTCCTGTGGTATCTCATTCCATGCAACCACCAACTCCTCTCGAAGTGCTTCTAGAGTCTGAGGAGGACGTTGCAAATTGTGCAATCTCCTACCCATCATATCCCACACGTGCTCAATTGGGGATAAGTCGGGAGATCTTGGTGGTCATGGTAACAATGTGACATCATTATGTTGAAAGAAGTCTATTGTGACTCTTGCAACATGTGGTCGGGCATTATCTTGTTGGAAAGTTGCATCTGCCAGGGTGTGAAGATAGGGTAAAAGATGGGGTTCTAGAACTTCGTGGATATAACGCTGCGCGTTCATGTTACCTCTGATGAAGATTAAAGGTGACCTGGAACCATAAGCTATAGCACCCCAAACCATAACTCCAACAGTGTGATGAACATGTCTTTCAACAGAAAACTGTGGATTCCTCCTTTCACCACGTCGCCTTCTAACCCTGGCACGACCATCGTGCATGCCTAAACAAATCGAGACTCGTCACTAAAGACAATACTGTTCCATTCCTGATCCCAGAGTGACCGTTGTCTGCACCACACAAGGCGATTACATCGGTGTTCTCGAGTTAAAGGGAAGACCCAGTGTGGCCGGTATGAAAACAAGCCAAACTTCTCATTCGTCGGTAAACACTTCGCATGCCAATAGGTCTTCCGTGTTCTGCAAACCATTCATTTGCAATGGACCTGGTAGTGGAGAAACGGTCCCTTAAGGCCAATAATCTTAGGCGGCGATCTTCATGGTCTGTTGTCCAGTGCCCCTTGCTCTTTGCGTACGGCCTTCTCGAAGCCATGCCTGACAACACCTAACCACCGTGTCTACACTTCTTTGCACTCTAACTGCAATTGCCCGAAAGAAAGTCCAACTTCCCGAAGTCCCACTATACGGCCCCTATCAAACTCACTAAGTTGACGAAATCGTACAGGTCTCCGTACTCTAGGCATCGTAACCGATCGTAAAGGATGTCAAGAACCAAAATCCGTCAACGTTGATTCTTTACTGCGGCTGAAGTATTCGTTTTTAGAACGTTAGTGAATTAAAAAAAAACAGTATAAAAACCGGAATGTCCAACTGATAAGGCTGAAAATTTTTTCACTTGTTATTTACAGTAAGATAAATACATTCACCAACTTTTATTAAAATAAAACCATTTAAACTGGGTGTTCGGATTTATATGTCACTTAGTATAACTTGGAATTTTGTAATCTGCCGAGTTTAAAAATTTCGATAGGTTGTGTTGTATATTTATTATAAGAATTTATTCTTCTGTGGGTAAATTCAGTTATTTACGTTAGTTTTAGTTATATTTGTGAATAAAGTGAATAAACTTATTATTATTATCGAGTTAATCAGGAGACTTTGGTCTTTCGTTTTGTGAAACAAAATCGTAGCTATCTCGATTTGTAACGAAGTTCTTTATCGGAGAAGACAAAGTACACCGAAAAATGGCTTGTCGTCAGTACCTTTGAGGCCCTAAAAGTTTGCTTTTTCGAAATTTGACCGAAATTCTATCTGCCAGGCTTGTTTCCTACGCTCAAAATTATTTTTTTTATATATATAATTTATATCTTGCATATAAATATAGGAAACATGGAGAATTTGTTATAATATCGAAAAATAGCATGTAGTTGAGGAATCTTAAGAAATCGAAACTTTTGAACGAAAAGGAATAAAGAAATAAGAAAAGACGCTATCTTAATGTCCGATGTCTGGACTTTCTCACGCAAAAATCGTGAGGTTCGTAGCTAATTTATCTTTGGGGAAATAGAAATTGAACATCGAACAGCACGAAAATCCATCGTTTTTTTCGACTTTGACCGCATTTCTTCCTGTTACCTCGATGGTTCTTACTCGCTCGTAAAACGCTGAGTTTCTAGTTTCCGAAACGGTATCGTTTTCCGACAAAACATTTGGCAAACTGTTAAAAAGACCGAGTAACCGCGCCGACGTCGAAACGCCCCGATCCAGACCCGTAAGGGCGGAAGGGGGATTAACCGAAAAACAAAAGATCATCGCTTAATATTGTCGAATCAGCCTTCTGGTCCCTGCACGATGGCCAGTTGCATCCTCAGCGAACAAATTGATTGGTGGGATACCAGCTACCACCACCAGTTGCAACGGTCGACATCATTCTGTAAGCGCATACCACGCGCAGCATTACTTTTTAAAAGTACAACTACAGTATATTCAGATAAGAGATAGACCGGACATAAACAAGACCACGTGATCATCGAACGCTGTAACATTCGGCAGGGACGTATTAAGAGTCACGCAGTACATATTTTAGATAGTAGATGCTGCTTTGCGTAACTTTGTAGTAAATTAGCACAATTCGATGTGTATACGATTGGTGATGGATATAGGATCATGTGGGGGTGGGGTAAGAAATATATAATAATGTAAATATACATAAGGGTTTCAAAATTTTCGCTTCGATTTCCAGCTTCGGATGCCGTCTGATGTTTGGTGAAATACAGTCGAATATAATCTCAAAATGGCGTTTAAATTAGCCTATAATTATAACAAGGTATAACAATAACAACGACAAACTCAACAACTTAATAAGATAACAAACGAAAACGTCCAAAGAAATATCAAATTGCAATGATGCACACGACATACGTAACACGTCTGAACCTGAATGTGACTCTGCCTTGATACGACTGCTCTGCCGCTCGGCATAGGCATTTAATTGCGAATTGACCAATGAGGGCTCCTGTTTTACGTCGAGACGGCGGCGTTAGCGTGAAAATCACCCGAACCTTTTGTTTACATCCGGTCTATCTCTTATCTGAATATACTGTACTTCCCTGTCTACATCCAGCATCGGAAATGGAAGGACCTCTGAAGAAGCTTGCCACTCGAGCTAGCGAAACGTTAGGAAGAAATTCCAACCGACGACCGCCTTTAGACCCGAATCAAGACAGCAGTTTTGGACAATCTATTCGATACTCGTACCGCGATTGATGAAAACAAATGAAGATACGATCTTGCAGCGGCAAAGAGTGCGATGAAAGAAGAAAAGGTGCGTCTTAGGAACACCGAAGTACAACTGCGACGAGCTAAATAACTTGCTTCCTCAACTCCTGCGACACTTTACAAGAAACTTTGTCCATTTTAACTCCACAGCCTGATGCTAATCAAACTGAAATGGGGAAAAGTTTCTTAACTCCAAAATTAGTGGCAGCATTAGATAGATGTCAGTTGAGTATGAGAATTGCTGTTTTTATTATTGAGGCACTTGGACATAACACTGATGAGTTTCCTATACGCAATGCCTCAAAGTACCGATGATTGTTAAACAGTAAGCACATAGATTTTCTATTCTATTCGTCAGAGCGGTCCGTGGGACCTTCGGTCTTTGTTAAAGTATCGCAGGTCAGTAGGTCTGCCAGGTCTGGTTGTCCTGATACCAGACGAAGTCAGGGAGAAAGAAAGGAAGGAAGAGGGAAGAACCAAGAGGGTGACGTGTGCTGGTTTAAGGGATGCCTTGCTATTGTTAGCTGGTATTCGGTTATTTTAAATTAATCCAAAAATTAATTTAGGAAACTCGTAATTTTGGTTGTACCTAGAATTGCACGATTTGATTTTGATCACAGTGCGAGCCGCGGTCTTGTGTGCTTGCGAGCTTGCTCGACTGTGTAGTCTACTGACTTACGCAACAGAGGGTTGCTGTGCGATTCCGCTTGACTATAACGTAAATGCGCCTGATGTTTGATGTAGTCCCTTAGGTAAGGGATGTCGAGGTCTCTGTGAAGGGTCTCGCTGGAGACATACCAAGGTGCGTTAGTGATGGTTCGCAAGGTTCTGTTCTGCAAAACCTGAAGATTACGCATATGCGTTTTGGCAAGAAAACACCATTGCTGCACGTGCGTAAGTGATTGCTGGTCTGCTAACCATTTTCTATAGCCGAACTTTGTTAACCAAGCTTAATTTTGAGGTTCTACATAGCAAAGGGTAGGGATGCCGAAACGTAATTTGGAATTTACTTCTTAACGCTTCAGTGTTTTTGTTTTAATTTTGATTAGCCACCGATCTGCCCATTCCAATATCTCATCCGCCGTACTTTGTAACCTGTCGTGAACCAGATTCCCGGTACGCGACTGGGCCACCAGTGCAGTGTCATCAGCATATAGATAGACTTCACAGTCGCTAGGACAAGGGACATGATGCACGAGAAGTGAGTAAAGGATTGGCCCTAGAACCGAACCCTGAGGGTCGTCGGCTCTGGTGGGCCGTACTGTCGACAAGAAATTATTAATTTTGATCCGAAATTTCCTACCTTCAAGGAAGGATTTCAAAAGTTTTAGGAGCCAAAATTGAAAGTCATTTTGAATTGATTTATAGAGAAGGCCCTTGTGTCACACCTTGTCAAATGCCTTCGAGACATCCAGAACCAAGATGCTAGTACTTGCGTTAAGGGTGAAGCCCCTGGTTACTCGGTCCACAAGCCTAACCGCCTGTAAATATCGAACCCACCTTCTTTGGAATCAATAGTATAAGTATAAAACACAACATTGATTACTTAAAAATGCTACTCGACCAAATATGGTACAATTTTGATCTAATAGTTTTAACTGAAACGTGGCAAGTGGCTGATATTTCTTGCTTCAATCAGCAGGGATATGACACGCTGTATAACTTTGGCACTTATAACCAAAACGATGGGGTGATAGTTTTTGTAAGAAATAAACTGCAATATAATCATGATACATTCACTTTCACCGATGGAATCAAAATTTTAAACATAATGATCCAAATTAACCATAACAAAATTGAGGTATCTGCAATTTATCGTCCGCCATGTTCAGAACCCCACGAGTTTTAAAGAATATCGAATTTTTTTTTCAAAATCAAAATAAAGTTCATTTAAAGCAACATATTTTCTTGGGAGATGTCAATATAAATATTTTGGACGATGATCCCATCACAAATGAATACTTGAATATCCTATCAAGTAACGGATTTCTGTCCTATATAAACCTACCTACAAGGTCCATCAGTGGCACATGTATAGATCACTGCTTTGTGAAAGACCTATCCAACAAAATTACTTGTATACCAATAATCCTAGAAAGCGATATTACTGACCACTTCTCCACTATTTTACTGATATCTTCAAATGAAAAACATTCTAACATCCCTACCGTTACTAACAACCAGGAAAATTACAAATTTTTTGTCGACAATTCAAAACTAATATCAAATGTCAAACAAGAATCCTGGGAACAATTATACTCTATAAATAATATAGACAAAGCAACGGGACTGTTCATAGAGAAAATAAAAAACTAATAGATATTAGTACCAATAAAGTAATAATTAGTCACAAAGAGAAAAGCAGAAATGCCTGGATTACCAAAGGATTAATAACATCGGCAATAGAAAAAGAAAGACTATATAATGTAATGAAACTAACGCCAACTACAGAGAATACCGACTGCTACAACCAATATAAAAATAAATTTATAGAGCTTGTAAGGCAAACCAAACGAAAACATTACCTAAATAAATTGAATAATAACTTAAATAATCCTAAGCGGCTGTGGACAACTATTGATGAGATTACTGGGAAAACAAAAGTTAAAGAGTGTGTCACTGAGTTAAATACAACATCGGGAACAGTATTAAAAAATACTCAACAGATATGCGATGAATTTGTACAATTCTTCACTGACATAGGCGAAAATTTAGCAAGTAATATACAAGCAAATATACAAAATACTCAGCCTCCAAAAAGAACTTTGAATTCATTTATTTTGGATAAAGTCGAGCAATGTGAAGTATACACCACTGTTATGTCCTTAAAAAATCGAAAAAAGTCCCGGGTTCGATGGTATTAAAAGCGAGCATTTGAAAATTATAGCCGAGGACATAACAGAACCACTCACTTACCTAATCAACAAATGCTTTGAATCTGGCATATATCCCTCAATTTTAAAAAAAGGTAATATAATACCGATACATAAATCAGGAACAAAAACAGATGTTAACAACTATAGACCAATATCAATAATATCCAGTGTAGCAAAGGTTTTTGAAAAAGTTTTATCTACTAGAATGATTCGATACCTCACAAAATTCAAAATTTTAAGTGAAAATCAATATGGATTTACAGAAGGGAAGGCTACATCGGACGCAATAACTAAAATTGTAAATCAAATACATCAAATATTGATAACAGAATCCCTTCAATCTGCTTTTTTGTTGATTTAAAGAAAGCTTTCGACACAGTTAATCACAAATTATTATTAGAAGCATTGGAGAGAATTGGTTTCAGAGGAAACGCGTACTCACTGATCGAAAGTTATTTGTCAAATCGCTCACAATCTGTGCAGATATCAGGATCACTTAGTAAAGAAATGTATGTTAAGTGTGGTGTCCCACAAGGAACTGTCTTAGGTCCGCTGTTATTCAATATATATTTAAATGATATTTTCCAAATTAATTGTGTTGGCAAAATAACTAGTTTTGCAGATGATACTGCAATATTATATGAAGGCACTGACTAGTCTGATCTGAAAAATGTAATTGAAAATGATTTTATCAAAATTATTCGGTGATTTAACAGTAGAAAATTAAGCATTAACTACTCTAAAACACATTTTTTACCATTTGGATCTTATGCTAGACATCTGCCAAATTACACAAATTTCTCCTTCAATATTAATGATCAAAAAATGCAAATTAATAGAGTGCCCAACATAAAATACCTTGGAGTGGTCTTGGATCCTCACTTACGATGGGACATCCATGTCAATTATATTTTAATGAAAGTTAGATTTGTATCCTACAAAATTAAATACCTTGGGAATATATTGACAGAAAAATATCTTCGAACATTATACCATGCACTGATTGAGCCTCATCTCACATATGGTATATTAGCATGGGGAGCTGCATGTTCCTCACATATCTATAATTTAGATGTTTTTTCAAAAAAGTATTCGAAAAATGATATTTAAAAAACCGAAACTTTATCCCACTGAAAAATTATACGCAGATGTTCGAATGTATGATATAAGACAGCTTTATTTTTACACAGTATCACTCACTACCATAAATTTGTAAACACCGACCAAAAAATTAAACATAATCATTATACCAGGTACAAAATTCGTGGCACAGTAGTTCCTCAACCGCGTAAATCTATAATGCAGCGATCATATCTCTATTTAGCGCCTAAATTTTATGAAATTATACCTAAAGACTTAAAAGATTTACATTTCGGAAATTGTTTCAAAAGAAATTTAAAAAAGTGGCTACATTCTATATCTAGGACTGAAATTCATACACTCATAAATGCGAACATCAACTAATACATAATCTACTGTAGCTAATTTTTGTCCTTTTTTGTCATTTGCATTCTACAGTTTCAACTTAAATTTATTGGTCCATGTACAGGCGATGCCTTCTATTGGGCCTGTTTTGATTTTATATTTATTTACTCATATTGTTTGTTATCATTGTACATTGAGTGAATAACGCCGATCGAAAGTACTGGGTCCTTAGCATGACATTGATAATAGCCACGCGATAAGTCAAGGACTTCCGTCAAAGCAGCTTCAGCGCCTTATTAGTGATTTGATCCTCCCCAGGCGCTTTACGCACCTTGAGGTCCTTAATATGACCTTGAAGCTCTGCTGGTGTGCAATGCGGGATCTCGGGAGAAGCCACTTAGCGCTGTGCAACTCTTCGGCTGAAGAATCTTCTGAGGAAGACGCCGTTGGCCCTAAAGTATCTCTGACGGATCTTACGATTTGTTGTTCCTCGTCGAGATCATTATCAAGATCATAGTTGGGAAAGAACTGTCGTTCCATAACATCAGCGAAAATCTCGACCTAGTCCCTGTCCTGAAGACTATGCCCCCAGGACAGTGGATGTGGTGCGGGAGTTGTTCTCGCTTTCCGTTCATGAGCGACTTCGTCACTTTCCAGAGAGGAGTACTTGAGTCAAGCATCCCCGCCAGAAAGTCGTTCCATTGCTCATTGCGGAATTCATGGAGAGCATTTCTTACTTCATGAACAAGATTCGTCGCTCTGCGATGCAACACAAAAAGATTTTATTCATCCTGACTTCCTGAATTTATGTTGAATACGTTTTGTGGGCGCTAAAATATCTCCAACTACAATAATGGAAATTTATACAACAAGATCATTTATTTGTCTCACCTGGTGAACGCTCCGAAACAAACATCCCTCTCCTCTTTCTCGCCCCCTTCTCCTACGCCGCTCCTGTCAATCTTCTTGATGTTCTCCACTTGCCCCACTTTTCCTGAGCCGTCTTTCAACGGCACCAAGCTCTTGCTCAAACCGTTTATTTTGTTTCTTCTGTTGACCGCCTGAAGGTGGTTGTTCTTCCTGCTATACGCGCTCTTCAAGCTCTTCGATTTCGATACGTTTCTTCTACAGTGGATTCTGCTGCTCTGGTGTTTCATTATCCTACCACCTTGGGGTATTACTTCCATCACAGACGGTCGGTTAGAGCGTAATCTTAGGCAGCATCCTAAGAGCCGGGCGCGCGGGATTTTAGAAGCCTGGTGTTGGAAGAAGAAACGGTCTTAGAAGAGGTGTGGGATAATTCTTTGTTGAGTCAGGATTCAGAACACGATTAGTATGGGATTCGAAGAGCTTGCGTCTGATTGCGTTCGACTGAATTCGAGTCGTTTTAAGCCAAGTTTGTGCATAAAAATATAGACGTTAACTTCCGCTTTAGGTTGCGACTCATTTAGCTCTACATGAACCAAGCATTAGAGCCCTATACGAGGGATGTCATTTAAGTTTTGCATATGGAAATAAAACAACACGCTAGAGGGTGATTCCTTGTTAAAAAATATGAAAAAAAGGTCCTGTAAACATGGTTCCGGAAATACAGAGTTTTAAAGGAATTTTTATAAAACCATCCTTTTCACGGACCAAGCAGGATTTCGGTATGGGGTAACGAAAATCGTCATGCTTAAGAACAATGTCGCCACCAGGAACAATTTTCTTTAAATGTTTGGATGGGTATCGTTGGAAACAATTTGAATGGTCCTTTCTTTTTACCCTTAACATTAAACGGAGAATCTTCAACAAAAATTGCCCGTACTGCTATAAAAAGTTCATGTAAATCTAAACGTACGTAACCAAATAGCTTTTATGCAGGATGGATGGATTATTTTTTTTCTGTGAGATACGAAAAAGATAGAAAAGGCAAGGAAGTTGTATTTTTAGATTCTTAATAAAACAACAGATATGAAAGTCACAAAAAGGCAGTGGCGTACAATTTTTTGCCAATAATATTCGCTAAGGTGCCCCCGGGACGCCACTGGTGCTAACAATTCCATCTATACTAAGTAACATATAAATGCGAACACCCAGTTTAAATGGTTTTATTTTAATAAAAGTTGATGAATGTATTTATCTTACTGTAAATAACAAGTGAGACAATTTTCAGCCTTATCAGTTGGACATTCCGGTTTTTATATTGCTTTTTTTAAATCACTAACGCTCTAAAAATGAATATTTCAGCCGCAGTAAAGAATCAACGTTGGCGGATTTTGGTTCTTGACATCCTTTACGATCGGTTACGATGCCTAGAGCACGGAGACCTGTACGATTTCGTCAACTTAGTGAGTTTGATAGGGGCCGTATAGTGGGACTTCGGGAAGCTGGTCTTTCTTTTCGGGCAATTGCAGTTAGAGTGCAAAAGAAGTGTAGAGACACTGTGGTTAGGTGTTGTCAGGCATGGCTTCGAGAAGACCGTACGCAAAGAGCAAGGGGCACTGGACGCCGCCGTAGAACAACAGACCGTGAAGATCGCCGCCTAAGATTATTGGCCTTAAGGGACCGTTTCTCCACTACCAGGTCCATTGCAAATGAATGGTTTGCAGAACCCGGAAGACCTATTGGCATGCGAAGTGTTTACCAACGAATGAGAAGTTTTGGCTCGTTTTCATACCGGCCACACTGGGTCCTCCCTTTAACTCGAGAACACCGACGTAATCGCCTTGAGTGGTACAGACAACGGTCACTCTGGGATCAGGAATGGAACATATTGTCTTTAGTGACGAGTCTCGATTTTGTTTAGGCATGCACGATGGTCGTGCCAGGTTAGAAGGCGACGTGGTGAAAGGAGGAATCCACAGTTTTTTGTTGAAAGACATGTTCATCACACTGTTGGAGTTATGGTTTGGGGTGCTATAGCTTATGGTTCCAGGTCACCTTTAATCTTCATCAGAGGTAACATGAACGCGCAGCGTTATATCCACGAAGTTCTAGAACCCCATCTTTTACCCTATCTTGACACCCTGGCAGATCCAACTTTCCAACAAGATAATGCCCGACCACATGTTGCAAGAGTCACAATAGACGTCTTTCAACATAATGATGTCACATTGTTACCATGGCCACCAAGATCTCCCGACTTATCCCCAATTGAGCACGTGTGGGATATGATGGGTAGGAGATTGCTCAATTTCCAACGTCCTCCTCAGACTCTAGAAGCACTTCGAGAGAAGTTGGTGGTTGCCTGGAATGAGATACCACAGGAGGACATTGACCACCTGATCAGAAGCATGCCTAGGCGCGTTGGAGAATGCGTAGCACATCAGGGTGCATCCACACATTATTAAAGGTCAATGGGGTTTAAAGCAGTGCAATCATTTTGAAATTTTATCATTCACTTATTACGCTTTATCAAGTACTTATACAAAATTTTATTAAAATAAAACCATTTAAACTGGGTGTTCGGATTTATATGTCACTTAGTATATTTAGGGCTAAATTAGCCTCTTAATACAAGAATTAATATTGCCAAATTTCAACAGAATCAAGTAACTATTTTTCAACATATCAACTACTGCATTGCATTTGTTTATAGAAACTTTTTTCATATTTTTTAACAAGGAGTCACCCTCTTGCCACCCTAGGGACAAACGAGTGGTTGTTTCGACCAGTTCTGGATGTCCGACAGGGCTAGGATGCGAAGTAGTAATGGATCAGAATACAAAGTTACGAGTAGAAGAGTCACTCCGTCGAAAAATGCTACCTGCCATTTGGACGCGATCATCCATTCATTTCCTGCGATAATAGTCATGGAAGTATAATCGAAATGCTCGGAAAATATTCTGATAAAAAACATTTTTTGACGCAATTTTAAGTCTGGCGACGTGTAGATTCATTGAAAGGGGTCTTTTGAATGAGAGCCAAAAAAACAATCAAAATATTGAGATAGATACTTCCTGTACCATAACTGCCGAGGTAGTCGATGGCTAGCATCTGATCCCGTCGGAAAAGTGGGTCACGTGGCTGTTGGATGTATACAGGGCGATTCGCTGGGACAAGTTGGTGTTGCGTGCATGGATGCAAAATAAATGAAGGAAGTGGTGTCAGACATTTCGTTGCCTTGCTAATGATTTTAGGCAAGTAAGGTTCTTGAATCCGTTTTTCATACATGATCTCAGGTCGAGGTGACATTGACGACCCAAAATTTATCTATGATTCATGAGTGTATCAGTGTCAAAAACGCGCCTTATCACAAAAATGTGATGAGTAGTTTTACTTCCAATAGCGATATTTTCCAAAATAATAAATACAATTATAGTTCATTATCGAAACTGTTCACAGCAAGGCTTTGTTGTCACAAGAGTCATATGCATAAGCTGGTAATGACCGTTTGAGTAATATTTCATTATATTATTAAAATGCATATTTTATGCATTTTCAAACCTCCGTTCAACGTTGGAAACGCAAATTAAATCTTTAATTGGAGTCAGGTGGAGGGAGGTACGTCCCCGTGGTGAGGCCTGGGTAACCCGAACAAGGGCTGGCTGAGAGCTGCATGAACGTTCTGACAAATGACTCCATTTTTCTTATATTAATCAGTTACAGGTCGCTGCTCTAGCTATTTCTGTTTAATGATGACAAGTGTTACAAAATGTTGAGGTAAATTCTACCTTTCCGGAGTGGAAATCGTCGCGCCACTGTGGGCGGTTTCCCTTAAAAAAAGTGGCAATATTACTCGCATTCCATTGCTGTCAACAGTTTTGGTAATCAACTTCAAGTTTTCAACAACCTATTCCGTAGATGCGCCAAAGTTAGACAGCACTACCCCGTATAAAGCAATAAACAAGTATACTTTATCTGAAGTCACTTGAAACACTGTGAAATACCGGGTGCGTTTTATATATCTATATTTAACACGCAAAAATCGCCAAATTTCGCAGCAAATATCCCCCGTATAAGATCAAAGGCAGTTTCACCGGTCCACGTGGAGTAAAGCACGTCTATGCGTGGACATAGCCAATGAGAAAGCGTGTATTTCAGAGCCCCGAACAAGTGCAGGTGGCTACTGAAAATTGAAACAGTTTAGCCAGTGCCGTGTAGCGGTGAATAAACGTGTTTTCTTTAGTCTGTCCGTGTTTTTTCATAGATTTTATTAGTTTGTGTGTTTTTGACTTTTGAATACTCAGTTTACTTGTTGATTTAATTGTTGTGTTGATTGTTCTTGTGTGTCCTAAATATGGCTCTTTGGAGACCTTGGGAAAATGCTCCAAGCCACGAGGAGATGGTTGATGAACCTGTGCAGGCAGAATTCTTTCATAAAGATTTAGAGGAACAGACCCAAAGAGTAATCCTAAATATGTATGATTGTCTGAAAAACGAAAATCCAGATTCCTCGCAAAATCAAATTTTAAACAGAATTTGTATCCTGACAAAAATCAGTCGGTCTACCATTTATCGGGTTATAAAAAGGGGAGATGTAGTCAACCATTCCTTCCACAGAAAGCGCATAGGGCAAAAATTAAAAAGAATAGACGTGGGTTTTCAGGAAGATATTCGTCGTATAATATACGGATTTTATAAAGAAAATTTGGTGCCCACGTTGGAAATGATACGGGATAAATTAAAAGATTATCCTGAAGATTTTTATAATTACAATGCTTAGACTCACTGCACTGTATTGTAAAACTGTGTGGTTTTCAATAAAAAAAATTAGATAAAAGAATGGTGATTATGGAGTAGTCTCGAATCGTTGAATTGCGCCAAGAATTTTTGCACAAAGTTAAAATCTATAGAGAGCAGAAAAGAAATCTGATTTACCTGGATGAAACGTGGTATGATACCCATGATGTTGTGCAGTACGGCTGGGTTGACGACAGCAACAAGTTCATTTTAAATGCACCATGCAACCGTGGAAAACGAATCATTATTCTCCATGCTGGCAGTGAAAATGGATTTATACCGAATGCCTTGCTGTTATCTGCCAAAAATATCAAAGAATCATGTGCAGACTATCATGAGGACATGACCTCCGACTTATTTGAAAAGTGGATAGAGCAGCAGTTAATACCAAACATTTCCCCAAATTCAGTGATTATTATGGACAATGCGCCATACCATTCCCGACAGAAAAACAAAATTCCGAATACAGGCACAAAAAAACAAGACATTATTGATTTTATGAAGGATAAGGGAATGGAAATACCACAAAAATCAACCAAAGCCATATTATTGGATCTTATTAAAAGACAAAAATTTGAAAAAGAGTATGTTGTTGACAATCTGCTTCAGCAAAAT